GTGGTAGTGGTAGTAGTAGTAGTAGTAGTAGTAGTAGTAGTAGTAGTAGTGGTAGTAGTAGTAGTAGTGCTAGGAGTAGTAGTAGTAGTAGTGGTAGTATGTGTCGTAGCAGTAGTTGTAGTAGCTGTAGCAAAAGAAGGGGTCGTAGTACTAGTAAACGTCGTCGTCGTTCAGATAATATGAATACTGTATGGCGAACTTCCCAGCAGTAGTGATCGAGGAGTTCCCCTCCGTAGGCACTAATGGGCACCTGTTGTTTTGTTCGCCTGTTGTTTGTTGGCGGGTGGTTATTCATCCTGGCGGATCTTGCTCTCTGGTCTCCTCCGCGGCCGCCATCGTCTGTCCCCCGCCGTCTGTGCGCAGTTCGCCCAGCAGTGTCCCCGCTTAGACCTCGAACGTGGCGGGTGATCGCTACCGCCGCGACAAAACAAATGTCTCTCCCAGGGGGGGAATCCCCCAATCGCCCATCCATCGTCGATGCGGGCCCGATTGCCCACCCCGCCCACGATCGGGCGGTTTTGCGATCGAGGGCTTATCGCCGATCTTTCGGCGACATCTTGCCGACTCCAGGTAGATGCTTCCCTCCTTGAGCCGGTCACTCCAATCGTTCCCATTCAGAGGAGCCTTGCGTGTTCAAACATCGGTACGCACAAGGTTTCCGAGCTGCGTCTGGCCATGGCGACGAGTGGGCCCCCCGAAGGCCAATTACAGTTGTCTCAATTGGGCCCTCCTCCGACCCTCTTCGGCCACGCGCGGAGGGGTAGGGGGGAGGGGGAAGGTTTCTTTGGAGGAGGCCACTTCTTAGAAGGCACGTGCCTCGTCGATTGATGTAAGGCCGGCGCCTTCTGAGAAGACTGCCCCCCCAGCCCCCCAGCCCCCTGGTGCGCGCCGCCAGCCTCTCTCGTAGAGGAGCCGTGCGTGCTAGAGCTCCGGCCCTGCTGCGCCGGGCGGCGATGGGACTTCCGCTTCGCGCGCGCGTCGGCCCTGCAGGCGGCGGGGTGGCGCCCGCTGCCGTGGGCCGAGCCCCGCCGCACCTCGTTCTGGGCGGCTACCTTCCCGGCCGAGGGTGGGAGGCGGTGCTCACGGGAGTGTGAGAAGAAGTCATGAGATCGCGGGTTCTGAGGGAAGCGGGTCTTGAGGTGTGTTTTGCCGCGTTTGGCATCCCAGGACTTGCCTTGGGCCCCGGGACCGTCAGAACTCTACTCAGGATGAAGAACGTCCCCGCCCTGGGGGGGGGTCAGGGGCAACGTTAGGTCACCGTTAGGTGGGATGGGCTCAGGGGGGGACGCATCGACCTCCAATTGTGCCCATAGGGGCCTGATAGCCCACCCCGCCCAGGAACGTGCGGATTTGCAATCGAGATCCTGTCGCCGATCTATCGGCGATGGATCGTCGATTCCAGCTCGATGTTCCCCCCCCCCCGAGCTGGTCCCCCCCTCTATCGTTCACCCTCTGACTCGGAGGCGGGCCACCGTAATGATAATAATACGCTCCAGATGTTCCATGGTTTCGAAGATGACCTGATGCCCCACACGGGCTGCAGGAAACGAGGGCCGCCAGATACTCCTCATTTTCTCGAACGTGTCCTGAGCCACTCGCATCGTGAGTGACAGCCTTGTCGTCTCAGGTACCTCTGCGCTGGCGTGGGCGCGTTCCCGGAGCGCCGCTTCTTCGCCGCCCGGGTGGCCGCGGAGCCGCAGGTGCGTTCGGGGCGTCCAAGAGGGGGGTGAGGACGTTCTCGTCGTCGAATGGGGAGGGAGGGGAATATGGTCGTTGATCCTTGGAGGGTTTCTCGTCTCGGGATGCTCTCCAGCAGCTGCGCCTCGTCGAGAGCTTTCCAGAGCGCCTCGGAGGTTCCTCAGGTCTTGGGATGCTTCCCATAGGCTTCGAGCCTCTTCCCCTCTCCTCGTCCTCGCCCCACCTTCTTCTTCCCCCCTTCCCCTAATCTGCGTCGTCCACTTCCTTTTCCCCTCCTCATTGTATTTTTGTTCTGTCCCGCGTCCTTTTCGCTCCTGTTTGGGCAGGAGGAGGAGGAGGAGGAGGAGGAGGAGGAGGAGGAGGAGGAGGAAGGAGAGAGGCGGGAGAGAGGCAGGAGGACGTTGACGATCATTTTGCGAGGAAGTAGACCTTCTTCCTCCATCTCCTAAGGTTGGCGTTGTCAAGATAATGTGCGATGTGGCGCAGCCAGCCCGTTTATCCTCACCTTTGGGATAGCGTGCACCGAAACAGCCATGGCAGGGAGATGGTGTGCACTGAATGGGCCCTCGCAGGGGGGAGCGACTCACAGGGACAGCGTGCTTATCGGAGATCGATGCTGCACGGTAGTTGTGCAGCGCCTGCCGTATCCCTCCGTTGAGGCACCCTGAAGGTGGTGGGCTTCGGTGCACGGGGGGCGCTGGCTGCCTTCCACGTCCGGGACATCGTGGTCTTCGGGAGGGGATCCTTGTTGGGCTCGCCATTCGCCGGCCGCGACCACTTCGTCGAGGCGCCCGCGGCGGGATGCCGCGAGGCCCTGTCGGCTCTGGAGGCTCGAAGAGGGAGGAGGAGAAAAGCTTGCGTGAAGACACAGGAAAGAAGCTGAAACAGGTTGTAGCCGGCGGGGCGGCCAAGGAGGCATCCGGGGGCCGATTTCGGGACCCAGGACCGCCGGGAACTGATCTGGGGAAAAGTTAGCCTGGATGGACACCCGGAGGGGTTTGGGGACCGGTTGTGGGCCGTGGGCGGATTTGCCCTCGTCTCGCCCTCTGGATCGATTCCCTGGGGCCCCATCCAGTTCAGACCCCCCGGCCGCCTCCAAGAAGGACCATGTCGGGCTCAGGAGGGGTTTTGGTTTTCGGGCCGTTCCTTGGATCTGGGTCGGGGGACTTTTTGGTTGCCGAGGCTCCTCTTGGTTAGACAAGCCGCTTCGTTCCTGATTTGGCGTTCCTTTTTGATAGCACGATGCCTGCAGGCTTTCGGAGATCGAAGCGGATCTCTCGGATCGGCGCTGGCTCCCTCCCTTTTGGTGGCGCTTCTGGCGTGGCGCCGACGCGGGCGCGCTTCGCGCCCCAGAGAGAGGGGGTGCAGCGCCGATGCCAGAGAGATCCGCGCAGACCTCCGAGAGCTGATGTTCGTGCAAGCATTAACTGTCTGATCCTCGCCCGCTCCCGCCCGCGCCCGCCGTGATCCTCGAAGCTCGATCGAGGATCCTCGATCGATGTGTTGTTTCCCCCTTCTCGGCCCGCGCTGAGCGCCCGACTGTATAATTGTGTTTGTGCTGATGCTTGCTCCGCCTGCAGGAGGCGGGGCTGCGCGAGGCGGTGCTGGGCGCGGTGCCCCTGGCCCCCGCGGGCGACGAGGGCGCGGACGCCAACGCTGGGTGTCTGCTGGTCTGCCGCTCGCCAGGGCGCGCTGCGGCCGTGGCCGGGGCGCTGGGGAGGGGCGCGAGGGCCTTGGTGATCGGCGGTTGAAGGAGGGGGCCCTGGGGACGAGTGCCGGGGTCAGGGGCAATGCCAGGGGGTGACGGTCTCAGGTGGGGGCGGGGTGGGGGCGGAGGGGGGCGCCTCGGGCCCCGACCGCCCATTGATCGCCGATAGGGGCCTGTTAGCCCGCCCCGCCCAGGAGCGCGCGGGTTCGATATCGGGGGTTGAGGGGCATGGGACCCTGAGGAGTTGATTTTTGTCCAGCGATGTGTTTGTTCCTCCTGGAGGGCCCCGGAACCTTTGAGAAAGGCTCGTGCGCCGTGAGTTTCTGCCCGCGGCGCCCAGAGGCTCAGACATCCACGCCGCGAAGATCTACGCACGGTCACCCGCCGACGAGTTTCCCTTATGCCTTCGGGGAGGGCGGCGGTGTAGACAGTCGCCCGTGCTCAGTGGTGATTTCAGGATTGCCGCCCTCCCCTCAGGATTGCGCCCTCCCCTAAGGGACCCAGATCTTCGGCGCTGTGATGTTTTCAAGCCAGCCGTTCTTCCTCGATATCAGCTTCTGGGGGGGGGCGTTATCGGGTCTGCGGGCCATCAAAAATTGACCTGGGGTGAAATACTGCCCCCAAGGAGGGTGTTGGGTCCTCTAGGGCCGCAGATTGACAAACGCACCTCGTCGGATGTCTTGGGTGGTTTCGCGTCGGCAGCCACGCCCTTCTGTCGATGCGTTGCTCTGGCGTCGGGACGCGACGGGAACACCAGCTAGTCGCTGACCCTCCCTGTGCTACCCGCCCCCGCTTTCGGCCGACCCGATGTGGATGAGGGGCCTCTCCTCCGCCTCCGCCTCCGCCTTCGCCTCCTCTTCCTCCTCCTCCGCCTCGACCTCCTCCTCCGCCTCGACCTCCTCCTCCTCCTCCTCCGCCATTGGGGGCCCATCCCCCATCCAGGCCACGTCTTTGAAGAAGCGCCGAGGTGAGCTCCCAGTGGACGTGGCCGCCCGAGGACCTGGACGACAGCGCCGCGGGCCCAGAGGCGGCGAAGCGGCTCCTGGCGGCGCGCAGAAGTCGTCGAATGTGCGCACGGATTCCTTGGTGGAGGTCCAGGCAAGTTGCGAGTAGTTCATTTACGAGTAGTGGAACGCGCTTGTCCAAACACACACACACACGCACACACACACACACACACACACACACACGCACGCACGCACGCACGCACGCACGCACGCACACACCCACACACACACACACACACGCACGCACGCACGCACGCACGCACACACCCACACACACACACACGCACGCACGCACGCACGCACGCACGCACGCACCCACGCACGCACGCACGCACGCACGCACGCACGCACGCACGCACCCACACACGCACACTTACACACACACACACACACACACGCACACACGCACGCCCGCCCGCACGCACGCACACACACACACACACACACGCACGCACACACACACACACACACACACACACACACACACACACACACACACACACACACGCACGCACGCACGCACGCACGCACGCACGCACGCACGCACGCACGCACGGACGCACGCACGCACGCACGCACACACACAC